ATGAGTTAATGATTATTTTTAACGCATTAATATTTTGCTTACTGATTGTTTAATTAGTCTTTACTGTAAAATATGTTTTCTTACTCTATACCTAACTCTACTTATAACAACGCAGGACATTCAGAGACAAGTTGAAGACGATCACAACCTATTTAACGACACAGCTGTTAGTAAACAAATAACTACATCAATTACATCTTGATGAATACACATATAACCAATAAACATAAACTAATACTTAAACTAAACTTATAGTTAAGAATGCACAACGTATAATTACAGTGCCATAACGATTAAAACTAGATCATTTCAGTTGAAGTCCATTGGTAAAAGTAGACGACCTTTCACTAACAGATTGACTGATGGCATCGCAGAGCTTTATGTTAGCACACATAAAATTGTGCTCATTAACTTTAAAAACCTTTCACTAGCACCCTGATAATTTAAAACTATCCTCWAAATACGCAATTTGTAAATGAAAATATCACATCCATAGAAACTCACTCATTCAAGCACAGGGTGCCTTTAGCATGAACAACATTGCAGTTGTAGTTCTGAATTCTTACAAAACTTGCAAAATATACTCTATCGTTTTCTCTTTAACACCAAGGCAGTATCAAACCCCACAACGTCAGTGAGTTTTCTCTGTATTTAACGGCGGGGAATTTTTCTTTTGACCACAATTGTATTAGATATGTAGCACTAATTCCAGCTCACTTAAGCGTAAGTTTAGTTGTTAACAGAATTTATCCCATCTCTACRTCTCTTCAGGTTTATTGGAAAGCCATTGGGGCTAGTACTCAGGACCTTGTACRAACAGAGGGCGAGCTATTATTCAAAGCTGGASAAAAGTTGCTCAAYCTTGAYGTAGTTGTCAAGGGTGATGATGTTCCTGAATTAAGCGAAAACTTTACCATCATGCTCTACAAGGTGGATGGCGGAGGAGATCTGGATACSAGAGGACAAAACGTCACGGTGACCATACGGTAAATAAAGAATAGCCGAGTTGAGATATTTTGATTCAGTGACCATGCACAAAAGAATTGCAGACGAGGCTCCGGGGAAATAAAGAATAAAACGATATTATACGCTCTTTGATTGGTCATTTTGAAGCGTGCACTTCAAAATAACTCTTTGAAATATTAAAAAAAATAAAATCATCAATGGATAATCTTGATTTATTCTTTATTTCCCCGGAGCCTCGTCTGCAATTCTTTTGTGCATGGTCACTGAACCAAAATATCTAAACTCGTCTATTGAATGACTGACTGACTGATGGATGATGGATTGATTGATTGATTTTCTTATCAGAGCCAACGACGATCCCCATGGAGTCTTCAAACTCAAATCCGGTGCTCAAAGTCTTGAAGTTGATGTTGCTCTTTCAAGGACGCTACAATTCACTGTACAGCGTGACCAAGGGACCTTTGGTGACGTGACAGTCGATTACAGCGTGACTTATAGCTCATGGTATCCCGCTGAYCTGTCAGGATCGCTTACAGTTTCGGCAGGAGCTAAGGAGGTATTGTATATTTTTAATAAGCGTACTGCGCAGTCGTTTCTCGTTTATTTAATTTCGTTTCTTTTATTCTGTAGTTTACAAAGAAAATATCTCTGTCAAAGTCGGCATTTTTAGACGTCAACTCGCGCTTCCTCGTYACATTGACGCGTGTGAAATACATGAGTGGAAGTAAGTCGAATATAAAACACGCGTTCGTCCATTTTGCATTTTTCCCTCCGTCTTTCGTTTTCCTTCGATTCCATTCTTAATTTTCCTATTTCTTCCTTCCAAACGTTTTTCCCATTCCACCTAACTGTACATTGAGTAGAAGTCTCTATTTTCTTAACTCTCTGAATATCGTTATAGATCCTGCAGTGGTATCGAGTCCCAAACTAGCCTCTTCATCTGTGAGCGAAGCGGTGAACGTCCCTGATTCCGCAGCAAACGCTGTTCTTCGTTTTGCTGACAATTCGCTGAAACTTGCTGTAGCTTCAGGTTTGTGATAACAGTACAGCTTTTGRAAAAAGGTTTACCAGAAAAGAAACTGTACTTGTGACAGGGTTTTTAACATGTTCTTAGGTATTTTAAAAGGGATTACTTTTTAGAAGAAAAGGAATTAAAATAAGAATACGTGATATTGATATTTTACCTTATAGATAATAYGGCTACAATCACGGTACTGCGTCAAGGTTTCTATGGTGACGTTTCGGTCACGTGGAAAATGGGTTATCCAACGGATGCTGCTCCATCGGGCTATACTGCTGGTCAGATTGAGCCTGCTACAGGATCTTTGGTGTTTAATGGGAAAACAAACAACAAAACSTTTACTGTTAAGGTAAATTTCATTTCAYTCAAAAAGTGAGAATTAAAAAAATGGGAAAATAAATAAATGAAAATAATTAGCAAAAATAAATGGGAAATAAATAAAATTACTAGAAAATKTGTTACGACAAGAAAATCCAACGTTTCGRTGCCATCAGRCACCATTTCYAAGAKTAAAGTATTCTCAGWAGTTCGTAGTTTGAGTCTATTAYAAATTTGAATATTGCGGCTCTAGGGAATACRTTGTTATTGTGTTCAAAAAATTAAAAAATCTKTTCAGAAATAACATAAGAAACTATATACCTTGATACAGGCCAACCCAGTGACGCCTGATCGTAAACTGGTTTACGCCGTTCACTTATCGAAAACAACAACGTCATCCAACGTAGCAGCGAATATTACCAGTGGACCAAAGCGCACGGCAGTTATTGAATACAGCGGCGTAATTGAAATCGCCCCCGATGCGCTGTCGTTGGTTGTCACTGAGGGAAGCAAGGTATGTTAGTGTTTATGCGCGTTGAGTTCAGCATAGTCATTTTAGCGTAATACCGACGTATATCATTATTTTTAACCGTAAACGCAACGTAAGCGCGTTATGCATTATGCATATAACGGTAAGCGATGCGTGGAATGTGGAATGTACACGTAAACGCGATGAGTACGCATGTGTAGTGTTAATGTATATTACATAACCGCAAGGTATACGCAAATGTAAACGTATACGCAAGAAAGACGCATATGTAAACGTAACTTAAAAAAGTATGGCGTACATTAACCACAAGGGATGTTAATACACGTAACTGAGGAAGCAGCTATAGTTTACGTAAGGTATATACGTAATTATGAATATGTTTTTTTTTTCTAGGTTTCCTGTCGAGTTGTTCGTTTGTTCAGTATTTTTGGTTCCGTCCGTGTGACCTACAATGCCCTKGGCACTAGTGGTTCTTTCAATATGGCCGACGGAGAATTCAGCAAATCGTTYGATGTGACAGCGCCTGATAATAACAACCCTGAAAATGACTATACGTTATTYATCAATATCACCCAAGTTACTGGATGTAAGTGAATCTGGAGAAGAACGAAAACTGCTTTAGTACATCTGTATAACAATTTGCTGCACTGTCGGTATCCATTTTTTTATTTCCGTTACCGCAACACCTACTCTTGCAGTATCTTTGTTTGTTGAAGTTCAGTGTTGTGCTTATGAATAAATTATCTTTTGATAAAAGATTATAAAGCTTTGATTTATTAACYTTAAGTTAACTAACGCTTTGTTAAATACAGTTAGCACCTTTTTCCGAATTGTACGCATTAGACATTTATTATCATTTCATAGGTGTTCTCAGTAATGATTTTAAACCTTTTTTCCCGCAGCTGATACTCCACGACTTGGCGACAAAACCGTCTCCACTGTAACCGTCAAAGACAACGATAACGCYAACGGAATAATTAGCTTCAAAACCAAAACACTTAAAGTACCTGAAAACGTAACGTTAGCAGTTACGCACAAGGTATCACTAGAGTTGCAGAGGACTGGAGGGACGTTAGGAACAGTGTCGGTGATTGTYCGTACCGTGGGTGGTGGAGAACCCTGGGATAGGATGGCAAGTCCACAGACATTGGTGGATATTCTGGATAAGAGAGCAAARGATGGCAGCGCTTCAGTAGGGAAAGATTATGATCAACTATTGGAGACTGTTTCATTTGGGGTAGGTAGTAGKCGGCCATTGTAAGGCACTGTCATTACAACGTCGTCTTCAGTCTTCATGTAGATTCTCCTTCTACATTTAGTCACCCTCATCATATTCATCGCTATTTGTTTGCTATTCTCAGCCTGGTGTCTCCTCCAAGTCAGTGCAGCTTACCATCCGCGACGATGATGTCCCAGAACCTGATGAAACTGTTTACGTCTACCTCGCCAACGTYACTGGCGGAGCAGTACTGGGTACCACTGAAAGCTTACAGGTGAGCTAACCAATGATCAAACGAGATCAAATTAATGAAAATATTAACATAGAACTTTTAAGAAGTCTTATGACTGATATAAAGAAGTTTTTTTTAGCTCTACACTAATGTACGGTCCTCAATCCTCCATCACGAGGGTTGGTCGTATCGGAATATAATGATAAATTAATACATGATAATAAAGGTCAAACTTAATACCACTTGCTTTCTTTCAGTCATGGTCGGTAGTAACTATCGAAGGCAATGATTTGATGAATGGTCAGGTGGGATATGTTGCAGGCTCCACTACGGCCACAATAGAYGAAGAYGGATCTGCATCAGGTACAKCAAAGCTGCCATCGTTGTTCGTTGTTTGCCATCGTTGTTCGTGGTTATTGTCTCGTTGTTAGTACCRTGTGYTTTGTCGTTGTCGTCGTGTTGCCGCTGTTGTTGTTTCTGCTGTTGTTGCAGCTGTTATCGYTGTTATTGTKGCTGATTTACGATTTCATTGATGAAAAGTTTCCATTATTSTTAATCCTTTKCTGTTTCTGTTTTCAGCAACACTGTCAATTGAAAGAATGGGTGCAAACTTTGGCTCTGTAACTGTAAGCTTTACTTTGCTATATTTTGTACTAATGATAATTTGCAGTCTAGCTTAACTTATAAAATGATACATTATGAGACTTTCTTTTCAATGCCTGAGTGTTCTGAACAACTCAACGTTCAATCCCAAAGTTCTTTGAATATGAAAATTATAATTGACAAACTGTACAAGGCCAAGAACTTAATATTTGAGATATAGTGGATTTTATGCCACAAGAACATTTGTCCATGCTAAAAATCCATCAAGAAACAGAGGCCATTATGCATGGCAGCTACATGTAGTGTACAACACTTCAATCTTTTGAATAGCTATCTTGCTCTAATGACCAACACAATTCTTCATCAATAGTCTTCTTCACAGTTCCCTGCGGAATCTTGAAAGGTAGCCGTTCCTTTGCATTGAAGCGAAACAACCGTTGAGCGTGCAATGATAGATACCTTCTTTCACACCTACAGACAATTATTCACAGGTATCTATCATTGCACGCTTAACGGTTGTCTCGCTTCGATGCAAAGGTATGGTTACCTTTGAAGATGGCGCACGTAACCGTGAAGGAAGCTATTGATCAGAATGTCTTCTTCTTGTAAATCTTTCCAGGTTCTTTTGCACGTAAGGCTACATTTCTACCATTCTTAATCTTATGAATGTATRACCATGTATAGTCTTCTTCTAATCTTGTATGCTATTTTTTCATCATTTGATTAGGGAATGTGCTCTGTTTGTAGATCTTTCCAGGTGGTATGTAACTCACTTCTTTTCTTTCTTCTTCATCGCATCTTACTCTTATTGTTGAATAGACGCAAATGGCTTACTTGCTATGACCAGAATTCAAGAACATTTCGCAGACAAGCGGATGTGGTGGTTAAAATTTGGATTTATCTTGATTCTTTGATTTCTAAAATTGCTCTTCTTTTCCTCATATCTATTGGTAGTTCTATTGTTCGCTTGTTATCTTTGCTTTCATCCCTTAAAACTCAAACTGCAGGGATACGAAGAGGATATTATACAATTGTTGTTTATCTTTACATCTGCAAATTGAATATAATATTGAACTAGTAAAGGATTTGAAACGACCACTATAAAAGAGAAGACACCCGTCTTCATTTATAACTGCAGTAAAATGGACATTAGTACCTGTTTAAACTCATCGGCATTGATGAATTTTAGTGCGTCAGACAAGCACCTGAAGATACCTCTGGACGCTAAATGGGCGCCCCGTAGCAGAAAAGCATCCTAAGCTGCAAGCCTCGAGTTTAACTTTGCCTAAATTGCATTTAGCCCCATATAAATCGCTCACTATATAACATRCATTGTAGGTTGTTTGGCGTGTACGAGAACCAAGCAAACGAAGCCAGTTACTWGAATACGAAGGAACAGCAGTGTTCAAACCGGGTGTCAAAGAGGCAACCTTTACTATTCGACTTCGCAATGATAAGGTTAGTTCAGCAGTGATTATATCAATATGAAAATGGTGCTGAAATATGTAAACAAGATCTTCTTGATGATGTATTATAGAAGCCCCTACGACAGTGTTAATAGAGAGATTTTTTTTCAGATACCAGAATTCAAAGACACCTTTCATGTTGACCTTGTCGAGTTACAAAATACACAACAGGCGAGAATCGACCCAKSTGCAAGCTCTGCTGTGATCACTGTGTTAGATAGTGACTTTCCTTACGGRAARSTTGGATTTGCACCCAGCGCTCTGTAAGTCATCTTGTGAAGATATTTTGATCTCATTTCTCTATTTATTCATCCATTCATTAGTTTATTTGTTATTCAACCATTGATACGTCGATGTCCAGTCAACATCCATCGGCTTCTATCGAAAGAAATACTCATTGATATTTCATTCATTTCATTATTTCATTCATATTTCATTTCATTTCATTCATATTTCATTTCATTTCATTATTTCAGATACACTGCTGTCAATCTTAAAACAACACAAGTCTCATTGGAGGTTCTACGTAGCTATGGCAACACGACTGACATCACTGTGACGTACATGACCGAAATGTTACCGCTGAAGTCTACTCAGCTTGGTATCGCTACATCACGTGCGGTAGTGGGTCAAGACTACAAACTGCCAACAGTCACAACATTGAAACTCAATAAAGGAGAAGTATGAGCATTTTTTTGCATATTAGTTATTGCGATTTTGACTATTTTTTTCTATGCTTATTATTATTATTATTTTTTTTTTCGTTTCAATAGACGTCAGGCAAGATGACTTTGACGCTAACGCCGGAGACGCCTTCACCAAACAACATGTATCCCAAGGCCTTCAAAGTTAAAATTATCAACGTAACAAACAACGCTGTGTAAGTAGAAATCCTTCTTTCAATCATTCTATCTTTCCGTCCTTACATTCCTTTTCTTCTTCCTCAATATCAAACAATTGCTTCGGAGAAAAATCATTCGTTTGCCAAACTTTTGGTGACCATATATGGTAATCTTACTTTAAAAGGAAGTATAACGTTAGAAATTTTTTTTCAAGTTTTTTCCACCTTTTAGCGCTTTAAAATGGCTAAAACTTACAGAATTTGCAGAGAAATTGCTTTTCAACATGTCGGCCATTATAATTTTGTCCTAGTCCCCTCCCAACCTTGAAAATAAGGAATCCCACAAAAACACAAGTTGTCCACGCGAATGTCAGACAATTGTTTGATATGTTTCTTCGTATCATCTTTTCCTCCCTTAGTCTTGTAACATTTCTTCTCATATTTCTCATTACCTTCTATCCACTCTTTTGATTTATTCCTTCCTCCACTCTTTTGCTCCATTTCTTTCTCTTCTTCATTTTCTTTGTTTCACTGTTTTTCTTCATATTATAGCATCGACAGTGAATCTAGTACAGCAACAATTATCATTTCCAACGATGAAGATACCACAAGATTCTTGTCCTTGAGGGCTTCCTCGCGTTTATCGCCCTTAACAGACGAAGCTATCAACAAGTACGTACCTAAACTAACAGTTAAAAGTTTACTTAGAGCGTGGGATTTAAAGTGTAATTCAATCGTCACATAAAAGAACCTCTATTCTTGCTTTGTATGATTTTGTCGATTGAGCATGTATTTCATGTAAAATTATTTCAGTATTCTCGCCGACTTAAAGATTTACGTCAAAAAGCCGCTAAACGGTGATCGCAAAACACTRACAAAGGATACCATCACAAATGTCTTGAAGGAGAAGAAAAGCAGACCTTTGCTATCGGCCAGAAAGTGAGTATACGRTCATGCGTCAAAAGTATTAACTCATACTTATGATTAACTCTTGAATTGTAAACGTGCCTTTACATCGAAGTGACACAACCGTTGAGCGTGCAATGATAGATACCTGTGAATAATTGTGTGTTGGTGTGAAAGAAGGTTTCCATCATTGGAACGCTCAACGGTAATCTCGCTTCGATGCAAAGGCACGGCTACCTTTCAAGATCCTCTCCTATTTCAAGATGGCACAGGGAAGGAGACTATTATTTCATAAAACCCACTCATATAATATGGTTGATCCACAATATAACGAGCTTTTTGGTATATTTATTATAACCTATGAACAATATTTGCCTGTTTAATATTTTGTATTATTCCATCAGGTTGCAAGACATATCAAAGACGACTCTAATGGATATCTTTGATGAGTTACTCGATCCGTCTAGAAGTGACACGAAGTAATTGATACTTGCTTTCTTTCTTGATTTTTTTTCACCTTCAATCAACCCCCCCCTTCCTTTTTTCATTCCATCTTTCCTCCACTATTCCTCATCTCTCTCCAACTCCATTCCTTCCCTCGTTCCTTCTAACCTTCATTCCCACCCCTCCCCTGCAAGCCTTTCTTCCTTTATTCTTCTCTACCTTTTAACCCTTTTGTCTGTTTTGTTAACCACCTCCCTTAATTTTTTATTATTGACCATCATTGTACTTGTTCTCTAGGGGAAGCACTGAATTTGCCAACCTGTTTGACATGTTTGCTTTCTCTCTGGCTTATGGCGAGACCTGTCCAGCTACRAACCCKCTTGGAGTAAAAGGCAAATACGCTTATGTCACAGCCTACAGAAAGACTCTCAATTCGCTGAATGGACTTCAGATAAACTCATTGTATGTCTTTCAGTTAATTGATTGTGATATGATCATTTTATTGAATTGATAGATTTATTTTGTAGTCTGGTTTGTTTGCTTTTACAGTTTGCGAGCTTGACAAGTGAAGAGATTGATTGATTGGTCAGTTGGTCGGTTGGTTGGTTAGTTGTTGATTCGTTGCATGGTTGATTGCTTTAGTTGCTCGGTTTGGTTAGTCGGTCGGTCGGTTGGTGAGTGTCTTTTCACACTTTTCCATTGAATTCTTCAACTCATCTTTCTATTTCAGTACTTCAGACAAGCATTTCTTCTCATATCCCTCCAACATGTTCATCGGMCTAGACAACAAACAGCAGTCTGATTGCAACGACGTCCATTTTATTGAGTATCACAACTCTCATTGGTTCTCGGGATCTGTKCTCAGTGAYAAGGTACGATTGATGATGTATGCACGATGTATGCACGAAGAACTGATTGATAGTTTTAATAAAATACTTTCAGAAAGAAAGGATAGAATTGAAGTTTTAGTGATTGTCCTATTGATTGATTAATTAAATGGTTAAWATCCAMGTRCAACAAATATCAAGAGGTTGAATGATTGCTTTTTAAGATAATTGATATTGTTGGTTGGATGGATGGTTTGATTAATTGATCGATAGATTGGTTGATTGATTGATTGACTGATTAATGATTGACTGAATCACCAGGTTCTTTCTACATCATTGAATGATTCCTCCACAATAAACAAAAATACCATGTACCCATACACGTACCGTATCTACACTGGAAAAAAGAGAGTTACTCCTAAAGGAGCCAGGTAATGGAGCGTGAATTCATTGTCGAATAAAAACTACAGCTACTTCAAGCTCATGTCGTTTTATATATATGTCTTTAGTTCTGTTCTTGTATTCATTTCGCACTCAAAACTTCAATTCTTATCTTTGCCATCAGCTGTGTTTATTGGGACTTTACCAAGAAGGAATGGTCAACATCAGGTTGCAGTGTAAAGGTGAATAAAAACCTTAGTTTATCGTTTTATAGTCGTTAGTTGTATTCGCTGCACACATCTCATTATCCTCAGTTTATCCCGAGGAAGGAGTGTTACTTTCGTAGATCAAAGTACAACGGTGCCTTGTGGTCACTCCACTAATCCGACCACTTTCTTTGCCCCTTTAAAGGCCGGATTAACGAGGATTTTGCTAATATGTTTAGATGTGAGTAATTCAGTACACTAAAGACTATCTTTTATTGCAGAGTGACAAGGAAGATTACGTCGAGTGCCAGTGTAATCACATGTCAAACTTTGCTTCTCGAGGACAAAGCGACGATCGCGTCGGGTATTCTACTTATTTCTTTGCTGCTTGCTTCGTTTGTTTGGTGAGTTAAGTCAACATTATCATGGTTGGTTTGTTTTGTTTTGTTTTGTTTTGTTTTTTTCTCGAAGTTCAGACTATAAATACAAATGTTCTTGTTTCAGGGTGCCTTCGCTCTTGCCTTGTTATCCCATCACGCATGCTCTGTTGATAATCTCTTCTCAGCTAAGTTGCTGATGCACATGTTTTTCGCGTGCATGGCTGCACATGTAAGTACTTAGTATCCCTGCGGGGTTTAATTTCCTGTTCTCTCCAACTACACACGGAACCCAACACTTGAATCCTTCTATCTTGTTTTCGGCTGTTTGACTATCTATGATTAATGGGCGTTTATGTTGATAGCTTATGTACGTTGTTGGGGCCTATGTGAGTTCAAGCCAGGCTGTCATCACTGAAGACCCAGCAGTGCGATGCTCCGTCCTTGGGATGTTTATCCATTATTTCTTTTTGTGYCAGTTTTCTTGGATGTTTATTCAGGTAAAGCATCGCTATTCAACGAACTAACAAACTAAAGAACATTGTCGTTCTGTCTGCTAAAGTCAAACAGAGAAAATAATGACTTCTCTGTTCTTAGGGATGGAATCTTTGGCGGATATTAGTTCTGAACGACGAGCACACAGACAGAAAATACGTTCTKTTCTTCGTCCTTGGTTGGGGTATGTATTATAAATTATCACCACATCGCTTTGGATATTATAATGAACATTCTCTTAATTAAACGGTGTCAGTGGTAGACCAAAGTGTAACATGGGTATATTAGTACGCATGTTAGTAACAGTTGTGACAAAAAAACTGGTATTTGCCTTGACGTTCTGAACAAGGTTTAAAGGAGTCAATATAAACCTTTGTCAATGATTATACTTCTTTTTTAACAATGTCTAGATTTTGAATCAATTCTACCCATAATTCCTTGCGGTAGAGCCTCAAATGACATCCACAGTGCTTTGCATCATTAATATCCTGATAATGTATTTTAGGGATGCCTGTGGTGGCCATTGTATTATATATCATCATTACTCAAGCCGCTTTCTCRTGGAGTCTTCATGATATGTATGGCGATGTCCATAAGAACGGAGATATGTAAGTACTGAATTCGCTCATGCAGTGACACTCGCTTAATACGACCAGTCCTTTATATCGGCCAGATTCTTAAGTCCCAACGAATTAAAGCCCCATTCTTTTCTGCCTGGTTAAAGCGACCAACTTGTTATTCCGGCCAATTTTCTATGTCCCTTCGATGGTCGGATTAACGAGGCTYCATACATGGCAATCATTGTGAATTGAACGTTATTTGGATTTTCTTAGGTGCTTCATTCCCAATGCGTACGCTGCTCTCGCTTCAGTAGTAGCACCCACCCTCCTTTTCCTGATGGGCGTGGCTGTGGTGTTTACACAAGCCTATCAAGTCACCATGCAGTGGCGATACTATGATGATATATATAGAGGACACTACAA